AAAATATAAAAAAATGATTCTGCTACATTTGTATGTTTTTTTAAAGGTAACCGCTCTAATGCAGAATAAAAAGCCAAATAACACTTGCATTTATAAACTAAGACAGTAGTAAAATGTGGAACCATGAAGCAAGCTAACAGTATGGGCACAAATGTTTGTGAGTCTGTATGTAAAAATGTGAGCGTGGCAAGAATTGGCTGAAGACCCCTGGGGCAACACAGACCAAGCCAGAGTCCACCTGCTCTTCCAGGACACGTTTGCCAGTCGGCTGCCTGGGAGTTCAGGGGTGAGCCCTGGTCTACTGGCCAGCCGGCCTGGTCTGCACGGAAGCCCACTCGTGTCAGAGAAGAAAGGGCATGATGGCACATCCCCAAAGGCCAGAAACACAGAGCTCTCTCAGGATCAAGGAAAGGAGAGACTGTGCCGCCAAGTGAGGAAGGCATTGGAAGCTACATGGACCCCTTTTAACTGTTCATATTTGGATGCTACTCATTTGCAGGAAGCAATGTTTAAACCAAGTCTCAGGACCTTTTTACACCCCACTTCCGAATCCTGACTTAGGCAACATTGCCTTCCTTTAACTGTATATGGGAAGTTTGGTTGCCCTTCACATTTTTGGTAACTTTGCAGTATTATTAAAATAAACTCTTTATAAAGATATGCATACTGGCATTGATATCCAAAATTAACCACTGCTGTTAATGGACATTATATGTGGTCTCAACATTCTGCATATGCTCTTGCAAACAGGAGGTTCAACTTAATAAGAGAATAAATGACTATAATAAATTGTATGAATTGAGGTTGGTACGTCAATTCATACTGCCTCAGTAACCTCCTTTATAAAACAGAATAACTGTACCTCCTCAAAGACTTTTGTAATGACTAAATTAGATCAGATAAATATTCAATACAAGGTAATTTTAAAATAGAACTACCAACTACCTTTATTAATACACTAAATTTTAAAAGATCAAGGATGATAAATTTATAGAATATATTCTTTATTATGAATAGAATTTCTAAAATTAATCAATGTATAAAGAAACACTTGTTACAGTTCAACATACAGGGTGTCCCAAAAAATATATACACACTTGGAATAATTATTAATTCCAATGGGTTAAATCTGAAAAGAAAGAAACATCAATTGAGCTATCAACTGTTAAGTGTGTATACTTTTTTGGGGGACATCCTGTATTAATCCCACCAATGTATGTTCAACAGCAGAAAATCAGTATTGTGATAGAGACTGGAAAGAAACAAACGTAACTAAGAAAACATGTTATGTGTTCCTTATGAGAGGTAATTACAAAGATAAGAGGTACTCTTTGCTGAAACATTAAAATGTTTATGGCTGAAAAAGATGAAACACCAAGACAGGCAAAATGGACTGGAGATTGGAGAGTGTTGCCTAGAGAACAGAGTAAGTATGTGGTTGCTAGGCGATGAGTTTCCAGGCGACAGCAACTTCTGATTGCAGCAGTGTGCTGCTCCTATAAACGATACTACGCTTGGACAACTTTAGAATCCTTTTGTAACACCTTTTCTCATACATAAGCCTGAGCTTAGACTGACAACATAGGGAACAGAGTTCTATATAAATGTATATTTTTTTATACTATGTAATTTAATCTGCCTCTCCAATATTTTAAGGCCACTCTTTTAAAAGATAAAACATGCCAACCCTGGCTGGGTAGCTCAGTAGGTTAGAGCACTGTCCCAATACACCAAAGTTGCGGGTTCAAGTCCAGTCAGGGCACATACAAGCGACTAATGAATGCATAAATAAATTTAACAACAAATCTGTGTTTTTCTCTCTTTCACTTTATCTCTCTAAAATCAATAAAATTAAAATATAAAACATACCAGAGGTAAGTCAGAAAGAATAGATCTACTGTATGTAAAGAGAAAATCCAAAGGAATATGATTATTCAAAACATTAAAAAGGCAATATAAACTGTAATAGAGTGGTTTTTTTAAATCTCAAAAAATGTTCTAGTAAGAATAAGAACCAGCCTAAGAAAGACTCTAGTAAAATTATGTCATTGTGTAACTGGGTGGGGATAGAGTGTGGGGTAGTGTGAATTTGTTACATTTGCATATTAGACATGGCATTTGCAGTAGCCAAACTCATCTTCACAGTTGAATATGAATTTATCATTCTTGAAGACATGTGTCACAGACAAACTCAGACAAACTTGATGAAAGGGTTTTATGATAAGGAGGAATAAATGGACAGCATATATTTGGATTTTATTTTAGACTGTAATTCCACACTTGCATAATTTTTAATAAAGATTTTTAAAATAAGTTTTAAGTTCTCAGCAAAATCAAGAAGCTACAGAGATTTCCCATATGCCCCTTACCGCACAGATGCACAGCTTCCCCATTATCCAATCCCCACCCGGAGTGTACACTTGTTACAGCTGATGAACTTCTATTTGCACACCACCATCTAAAGTTGCTATTTCCCACCAGGGCTCCATCTTGGTGTACAGTCTAGGGGTTAAACAAATGTACAATCACATGCTAGCAGCACAGAGCCGTTTCCCTGCTCCGAAGCCTCTGTGCTCTGCCTGTTCATCTTCCCTCCCGTAGCCACTGATCTCCTTTCTGTCTCTATAGTTTCAGCTTTCCCAGGCCGTCATATCATTGAAATCACTCAGGATACAGCCCTTTCAGGCTGGTTCCTTCATCTAGCAATATGTGCTTAAGGTTCTTCCATGTCTTTTCATGGCTTGATAGCTCATGTTCTGTTTCATGCTAAAAAATACTCCATTGTTTGGAGGTACCAGTTTCTTAATCCATCACCTACTGAAGGACCTCTTGGTTGCTTTCAAGTTACAATTATGAAAAAATCTGCTATAGGCATCCTCGTGCAGATTTTGTGTGGACACAGTTTTTAATTTGCATAGTTTTTCTCTTTATCAGTTTACTCATCTGGCTCTTCCACCACTCTAAATTCTCGAGTAAAGGCCACAGTGAATCACGAGTTCAGGCTCCAAATATTTGGGGGTGAAGGAGTGACAACATATAGAGTAGATATTTAAAAAGGTCAATACAAGATAGACTGCACAGGAAACAAAAGCATGCTACACTGGCATAGGATTTTAAAAGTTATTGAAAAAAAGATTGGCAAAAATATATTGGAGTAGGGCCACATGAGTACATCATGGGAACAATACATCCTTGGTTTATTAAATGAATTTAAAATATTCAATTTCAGTGGCTCTAAAAACCTATTCATACTTGGGGAAAACTGTTGACCTTAGGTATGACAGCGGTCTCTGAGTTCAATTCCTCTTTTAATTATTTCTGTATGTTCTGGCGCCCAGCACAAGGTCTGGTACATCATAGTAGGTGCTTCATACATACTTGTTGAACGTCTATAGGCAGAATTGTCATTTTAAATGGGTAACACAATGTACACCGATTTCAAAGCCCATGAATGTGATAAACTGCACAATGAGAACCAAGTAAAGCTCTCCATGATGCCCTCGGTAAAAATCACCCAGACCTTTTTCATCTAATAAGTGGAAAACAAACAAACAAAAATACTTAATATTAGTGAGGCTGTGTGAAAAAATAAGATACATCTGATATACTGGTAAGAGTATAAATGAAAAAATATTGTTGAAAAGCAAAATTTCCTCTTTAACAAATTACTTAACACATTGCATACCACATAGAAATCTCTAATACATATGCCAGGGACCGCAAGTTTTTGGGCAAACTGCACGTTATTTAAATCATCCTAATGCATTTTAGGTGTTGTTTTTCAATAATTATAACATTTTTATTTACAAAAACAATTAAACAATTAAAGTTCCTAGTACTTTTTTAACGTATGGTACTGCGTAAAACATTTTCCTCTATGAAGAGGGACCAAACAAAATTTACATAAGTATCTAGATTCGCTCCTTTTTCCATGGGCGTGAAAAACGAGAACACTCGTGAGCGGTCCTTAACAGATGGCGCGCGAAACACAAGAAAACTCCTGAGCGGTACGAAATGTGTTAAAACAACAATTAAAAATACAGTTGAAAATTAGTATACAAAGGTGTTCACTAAGGGTTTTTAACAGTAATAAAGATAAGAGCAGCCGAAACCGGTTTGGCTCAGTGGAGAGAGCGTCGGCCTGCGGACTGAAAGGTCCCGGGTTCGATTCCGGTCAAGGGCATGTACCTGGGTTGCGGGGCACATCCCCAGTAGAAGATGTGCAGGAGGCAGCTGATCGATGTTTCTCTCTCATCGATGTTTCTAACTGTCTATCTCTCTCCCTTTCTCTCTGTAAAAAATCAATAAAATATATTTAAAAAAAAAAAAAGATAAGAGCATATGTCCAATACAGTATACATCATCCATATGGTAACATATGACTATTCATTTTAAAATTGTTATTAACAAAAACTTTGTGATTATTAGGAGTAAAGTCAAATGGGTTTACTCCATCTTGTTCAGAACCCAAACCCTGTCACTTATTTTTGGTCTAAATTTTGTGTCTTATCACTCTCTACCCTAAATTTCCAGAGGATGTTGCCTGGGTTTTTATTAACTCTTGTCCTAATAGAGTGTCATGTATGACATGTCTTTTACGTTTAGTCACTGTAGAAAACTGTTGATACAACTTCTTGGCCTTTACCTACCATTAGGTTTACAACGTAACTCTCCAGTTTGCTCACTTATTCAGCAAATGCCTATTTTTTGGAAGCTTACAGGGGTCCAACAATGAGTAAGATAACTAAAACCCCTGGTGTTATGGATCTTACATTTTACTTACTGAGACAGGGTGGAGAGACTGCAGGCATGTGAATAATATGTTCTCTTCAGGTTGATAAAAAGTCAGCCCATTTTTCAACTAATATTAAGAACATACATTTGAAAAACTGCAAATATTCAGAAACCTAAAAATTTTGCAATTGGCATAGGCAAGGCAATTTTTTCACTTGGTACAATGGAACTTTAATGATATGATAAACTAATTATCAACTACTTACCACATAGAGTTGTTTCCACAGACTGGCCCATTCTTGTAGAGTTGCTGTAACCTCAGTCACAACGGAATCTTCAAGAGGAACCACAGTTTCATACTGCCTACGACCACGAAAAACAGCCACATTATCTTTGATAAATTACCAGAATACTGTGTATTGCCCATTTCAACATGTGTAACTCAAATTTTAAATTAATGCAAATATAAAAAGAGGTACACCGAATTGATTTAAGATCCTTTGCATTAATATCCTGCAATAGTTTAAGTCAAACATGTCAAACTCGCGGCCCACAGGCCGCATGTGGCCCACAATGAATATTTTTGTGGCCCAGCCAATATAATGGTATGTAGGAAACATTTTAATAAAAATTTCGTAACTTAATTTTTACAATATCCTGTTATACATAATTATTAATAATGAACTACAACATTCGCTAATGACTGATTACTATAATCATGTTGCATTCATTCCCTTACACGCCTTATGCACAGGCGCACCATTTCTCTCCACTAATACTGGCAGCAAATATTTTAGCAACCAACTGCCACATCATTAGTCTTGTGATGACTTGGTGTTCGCAACAGGAAATATTTCACTTTCGAAAAACAAAGAAAAATAGGTTTATTTGCATTACGCTTATTGATTTGTGGAGTTATTCAGTGTCTGGTAAGTTAATGTTCAAGAAAAAATATTAATTTTTATAAAAATGTTCTATTATTTTATGTTAACGACTCATTTATTTCAGCCCTTTGTATTCAGCATGTCTGTATCGAAATAAACCTACATTTCTATAAAAATTTAAGCTTTTGTTTTTTTGTGGCCCACATAATCTTATTTGTCCCATGTTAGCCTTTGAGTTTGACATGCTTGGTGTAAGTGAACTGAATTAATGTAAAACATATGGGTTTTGATATATATGTACATATCCAAACACACACACATACCGCTCTGTCTTCAATTTTACTTTTTTAGAAATACATACTGCCTTTAAGACAAACTTTTAAAAATACCATTTTCAGCTTTTTTCTCTTTAAAGGAAGACAATAAGCATTGCCCAAATCTTGCTTATATTAATTTTTTTAATCTCACCCGAGGATATTTTTTAATTGATTTTTAGAGAGAGAGGAAGGAAGACAGAGAGAGAAAAGAAACATCAATGTGAAAGAGAAACATCTATCACAGTGGTTCTCAGCCTGGCTGCACATTAGAATCACCTGGGAATCTTTTTAAAATCCTGATTTCTGGGCCTCACCCTCCGGAAATTCTGTTTCTTTGTTATGGGGTGGGACCACAACATTAGTAATTCCTGTAGGATCAATAACTTGACCTCTCAATTCTTATTTTCCCTACTTCCTAGCCAGGCTACTTTGGTAAAGGTATTTGAACTTTCAAAGTTTTGCCTATCGAATCTGAAATAAGCAGCTAATCCCATCTACCAATCTGGGATCCCAATGTGTAATATAATGGGTGTAAAGTCTCAAATACAATGCCCAGGATACAAAATATTTAATAAATGATACCTATTGTTGACTCTTAAAATACTTAATATTTTAATTTTCACCCAGCCAGTGTGGCTCAGTGGTTGAGCATCAACCTATAAACCAGGTCGTAGTTTGATTCCCAGTCAGGGTACATGCCTGGGTTGCAGGCTCGATCCCTGGTGAGGGGCGAGCAGGAGGCAACCAAGCAATGATTCTCTCTTATCACTGACATTTATCTCCCTCACCCTCTCCCTTCCTCTCTAAAATCAATAAAAATATTTTTTTAAAACATGTTTTTTAATTTTCATTATAAGTTATCAAAGTGCATCTAAAATAAAGCAATATAAAAATGAGTTAAATTTTATATTGTACTTTTAAAATATATTTTACAAATACTTCTCATCAAAATAGCTCTATAAATTCATATTTGGCATATTTCCTCACCTCCAAATATATTGCAGGAAAAAATACAAAACAGAAAACCTAATACATTTCTAAACTCCCAGATAAAATGAACATCTCCATAGAGCAGCAACAGTTCAGGGGGGAGAACACACACACACACACACACACACACAACAGTGAAAACCAGGGTGAAATCACAGGCCTCCCAGGCTTTGGAGTCAAAAGCTAACAATGACAACCAGCAGCGCAGAGGGAGAACAGGAACAAAAAGTACTCAAAAAGGCCAGGTTCACCATTGCAAGATACCACTGAAGAGACCACCACTACCTTTTTACCCTTAACATATGCCTTTAATGTTTTTTCAATTTCTATCAGCAAAAGAAAAGATTTTAAAAGTCTCCCTCACTTTGATATATATAAACAAAATGTGAAATTTATCACTAACTCCTATTCTACCAAGGATTTTTCTTAAAATAGTACTAGTACATCATTTTAAAAAAATACTATATGCAAAATTGTTTTTATAAAATTCACAACTCAGGTTATCTTTCCAGGACACAGGAAAACAAATTAAAGTTGTCAGTATTTTAACAAAAAATTAGGTCCTCAGAATTACATATGATGAATGAAGCAAGTATATTTTTGGCAGGAAAACATGTCAATAGCATATATTTATACAATAACCAAAAAACAAAAAATCAAAACCAAAGCCCTCCTCTGCAACCGACAAAAACTAAATACATTTATTAAGGCCAACTACTCACCCCCTATTACTGACAATTGCCTTTTTTAAGTGAATGTAATTTGCAGGAAAGATCCCCTGTAAAAGAGAAAAGATTTTCTATTAGAAAAAATAATTTCTGATTAATCTCTCACATATACTAAAACAGAAGTCAGATTTCAGCATAGAAATACTCTATCAACAACATAATAGATCTGTTAATATAGCAACCATTTTCCTAATTAAGAATGCAATGTTTTACAAATTATATTATATATTCATTGTCATTTTCAATCAGAGTCTATCCTCAGGGAAAAATTGTGATCTTAACTACAAACTATATTTTTTTAAGTTACAGATTGAAAATATTCCATCAAATCATTCTCAGGATATAAAATGTACAGAGCTTGGCATGGATCTAAAATCAACAATACTGTCTAGCCAACACCTCCCAGATTATTCTGCTCAGCGCTAGAGAAACAATTCTCAGACTCTGGCTAATGTTTGTATTCAAAAGAATTTATCAATTTGGGAGCCTCTATAACTAATTTTTCTTTTATTCTTTCTAAATGATTTCCACTTTGGTATTTGCCATAACATGATTTCAATTCCTAATGGATAAAAACTGTATTTTGTTTTAAAAAATTAAGTTTTCCAATCAATGTTTCATCCTTTTCCTGATGTATGAAACTCCTTTCCCATAAAACACAAATGACATTTTTAATTTCTTCTTTTACCCACAAATGGCCTAAATTTTTTATTTGACCATCACCACTAACAATAACAAACACAATCTATACCACACAAGGCCATCAGCAGCTAAACCACAGTAATGCATGTTATAGTTTAGTGTACACATCTTTCACCTCCTTGGTTAAATTTATTCCTCAATATTTTATTGTGTTTTATGCCAGTGTGAACTGGATTGTTTTCTTTACTTCTTTTTCAGATATTTAATTGTTAGTATATAGAAACACAACTAATTTCTGTGTGTTAATTATATGTCCTGCAATTTTACTTAATTTGTTGATTAGTTCTAGCAGTTTTTTTGGTGGAAATTTAGGATTTTATACAAATAATATCATCTGCAAACAAATAAAATTTTATTTCTTCCTTCCCAATATGAAGACCTTTTAATTCCCTTTCTTACTAGCTAGGACTTCCCAGTGCTAAGTTAAGTAAGAATGCTGAGGACTAACTGGTTTGGCTCAGTGGTTAGAGGGTCGGCCTGCGGATTGAAGGGTCGCAGGTTCGATTCTGGTCAAGGGCATGTACCTTGGTTGCGGGCACATCCCCAGGAGGGAGTGTGCAGGAGGCAGCTGATCGATGTTTCTCTCTCAAAAATGTCTCTAGCTCTCTCTCCCTCTCCTTCTTCCTCTCCCTTCCTCTCTGTAAAAAAAAAAAAAAATCAATTATATATATATATATTTTTTAAAAGAGTGGTGAGAGCGGCCACCCCTGTCTATGTGATATTGGCTGTGGGCTTGTCATATACAGTCTTTATTAAGTTGGGGTATGTTCCCTCTAAACCAAATTTGTTAATAGCTATGAAAAACCTACTGAAATTCTTCTTGTGACCATATTATTAAGAAAAATGTATAGGGCCCTGACCGGTTTGGCTCAGTGGATAGAGCGTCAGCCTGCGGACTACTTAGGGCATGCACCTCAGTTGCAGACTCAATCCTGACCCTGATCGGGGCACATGCGGGAGGCAACCAATCTATGTTTCTGTCTGTCTCTCTCCCTCTCTTCCACTCTCTCTAAAAATCAATGGAAAAAATATCCTCAGCTGAGGATTAACAAAGAACACACCAAAAAACTGTATTCATGCTATAAAGAGCTATTAATATTAATCTTGGGTCCACATGATAAAATAAGAACATACTGGCTTTCACATTAGACTAACTCAAACCTCAACTTGTAAGCACTGTGGGCGTGGCAAATTGCTTGGCCTTTCTGAACTTGAACATCCTCAACTATAAAATATAGATGACATCAGTACTTATAATGTAATTATGAGGATAAATGAGACAATATATCTGGAATTTTTAATACTGTATCAGGCACACAGTAGATCTTTGATAAATGTGAACTCATCAAATCTCACATGAAAAAAAAAGTATCTGGCCCAAAATCTCCATAGTGCCTAGCATGAGAAGCCCTGGCTATGAGAATTTAAGGTTTGAAGATATTGTCTTCTCATAGTTATTACCTTAAAAACTAACCAATTAGCCCTGGATGGTGTGGTTCAGTGGTTAGAGTGTCAGCCCACAGACCAAAGGGTTGTGGATTAGATTCCTGGTCAAGAGCATGTACCCCATTTTGCAGGTAAGGGCACATGCAGGAGGCAACCAATCGATGTGTTTCTCTCACATCAGTGTTTCTCTCACATCAATATTTCTGTCTTTCTCTGTCTCTTCCACTCTCTCTAAAATCAATGGAAAAATATCCTCGGGTGAGGATTAAAAAAAAAAAAGATTTTGCAAATATATTGAGAAGAGTGTTCCTAAGTATATTATAACTGCTAATTAAAATATTATTTTGTTTGCTCAAATTAACATTAATTGGTAACAGAATAAACATATAAAATCTAGTTAATAAAATTAGTATTCTACACTTGTAAGTCTTGTTTAAATTCATATTTTTAACAATAACAGTATGATCAACAAAAACATCTAATTGAATATTATTTGAAAATCTTTTCATTTTGTATTTTACAAAACAAAATTCATCTAACTAATCACATGGCTCCACAAAACTGGGCCTAAGAATAAGTCAATTTAGTTTTGTCAACCAAACAACTTGTATGCATGCATATAAGCATAACCAATGGACACAGACAGTATGGAGGTGAGGGCATGTGGTGGCGGGAGGGAGCAGCTGAGGAGAGGTCAAAGTGGGGGGGAAAGAGACATATGTAATACTTTCAACAATGAAGAATTTAAATATTACAAAATTTAAGTGTCCCAATAGGCTTTTCCAAAATACGCTTTCCAGCTCTGGCCATAAATGTATTTCCTATCCTTTAAAATAAGAACCATTCTAACAGTGCTGGACAGAGCAGAGGCTGAGACAGCTCTGAGAAGGAAGACAGGAGTGTGGCCTCTGTGAAATATTTTAAAGGGCAAGTAAGGATTGTTTTTATATAAAACAAACATACGAGGCAGTTCCTACGTTAGAAAAAGTAATAAAATTATTGTACCTTTACATTTGGCTTCTTTGTTGAAACTCCTCTGTACCAACCTAAAACGAAGCATACAGAGGGCATTAAAATCACATTACTGTCATTTCGTGAGACATGAGCATTGTTAGAAAAAAATAATTGACTGTGCCTTCATTAGTAATTTACTCCAAAAGGAACAGCCTTACAATAAATACAACATTCTCAATTTTCTTCAGAAAGAATAACGCCCTAGGACTAGGTCCATCTCTGCTGTCGCAAGGTAATATTTCCTTGTTTTTTTACAGCCAGGTAGTATTCCATTGTATAAATGTACCACAGCTTTTTTATTCACTCATCTACTGATGAACACTTGGGCTGCTTCCAAATATTGGCTATTGTACTAGTAAATAACGCTGCAATAAACACAGAGGTGCATATATTCTTCTGAATTACGAGTTTCAGGTTTCTTCAGATATATTCCCAGAAGTGGAACCACAGGGTCGGAGGCAGTTCCAGTTGTAGCTGTTTTAGGTGACCCCATCCTGCTTCCCACAGTGGCTGCACCAATTGCATTCCCGCCAACAGTGCACGAGGCTCCCTTTTCTCCACAGCCTCCCAGCACTTGTTTGTTGATTAATGACCGGCTTTCCGACAGGTGTGAGGTGATAGCGCCTTGTGGTTTGGATTTGCATCTCTCTGATGATCAGTGACGGAGCATCTTTTCAAATGTCTACTGGCCGCGTGCGTGTCCTCTTCGGAGAAGCGTCTATCCAGGCCCTCTGCCCATTTGTTGTTGTTTTTGCCTTCTGTACAAAGTTTGTTTATATTTATATATTTATATATATTTATTATCTATATTATATACAGTATATATTATTTATATTATTTATATATATATATATAATTTATGTACACAGACTCAAGGATATAAGTCCAGTGAGAAGGGCTCATATGTGCCCACGTGGAGGACAGGAGTGGCTTTAGCACTGGCATGGAGCCCACAGTAGAGGCATGGAAGAAGTAGTGGAGAGCAGCAGCCTCTCCACCATCCTCCCTTCCTGGACCAAAGGAAGGACCTGGGAGGAAGGACAACTAACTATACAAAAGAAGATGGAAGATACTGGAAAGGTACCCCATCTTTCACTCAACTCCTGAATGCCCCTAAGACATCCAAAATACCTGGCAGGATAGATCATTTCTATAGCTCCCAGCAAACTGCAGAGCCCACAGTATTTCTGGCCCCAAACTGAGGTCTAAGGCAGGCTTTACAATGCACATACATGTCCAAGCTATCTTCCAGGGCCCTTGTAGCATCAAGCCAGCACCTTCAAGGTTCAGCCCCCAAACTGAAAAATCCTCTTGGACCACAAGGCTTAAGGGTTTTTCCTTGACAAAATTGTAGGGTAAAGGTATAGGGGACAAGAAATCAGTTCCTTCAGTTAATGCCCTAAAGCCTGCTCAACAGAGGAGGAACGGAGGAGTCACTGAGAGGTGGTTGGAAAGGCAATGAAGACCATCCCAGGAGATGGTACACATGGAGAAACAGGTGTTCAATAATTCTCTTCTCTTCAACTAGTGGTTGCTCAGCAGGGTCCATTCCCAGCGGGTCCATGGGCAGGAGCTCTTCTTGGTGTCTATGGGTGACCCCAATTCCCCAGAGTTAATGTCCGTGGCTTCAGGATGGCTTGATCCAACATGGATAGAAGGGCTGCAGAATGGTAGATATGAAGGGAGTGGCAGGACCCGGAGGCAGAGGGAGGCAATGTACTGAGCCACTGACTGACTTGGGGCAAAGAGAAGAGGTAAATGGAAGTCAAACGAAAGAAAATAAGCAGAGTCTAAAATGAACGAGGTCCTGCGACTCACATGGTCTGGGGGGTCAACAGGCTGGAAAGCTGGAAGCGCTGGGAGGCAACTGCCTGAGAGGCAAGGTTCAGGGCTGGACTCAGAGCAGTCGGAGCGGCTGGGTTTAGGGCCCCCAAGTGAACTGCTCCATTCAGCTGCAAAGCAGCAGCTTGGGCAGCGGTGGCAGCAGCGGCGGCTGTGGTTGGCAGCTGGATTCGAGCGCCTTCTGCCAATTCGGCCATGAGCTGCAAACGTCCACCTGCTGATCCCAGATTCAGCTCCTGGTCTCCATCAGGAAAAGTGATGTCTGTGCCACCATCCAGTCGCTCAGTCACATGGCCAACTCTCACAGGTCGACCAGCAAGCTCAAAGCCATTCAACTGTTCCAGGGCCCGTCGGGCACACTCAGAGTCAGAGAACGTAAGGAAACCATAACCTTTAGAGCGGCCTGTATCTGAGTCCTTCATCAGGACAATTTTGCCAAAGCGCTCAAAGATGCCCCGGAGCATGTCCTCGGTAATACTGCAGTGCAGGGAGCCCACAGAGGCGCACTGGTCCACCACCGCCTTTCTGCAGGCTGGTGGCCATGGCTGCCGGGCGGTTTTTCTCAGCCTGTGAGGCCTGTACAATGATAAGCACCCCCAGCAGCTGCCGCCCTGTCAACCCAATGGCCAGTGGCACAGACGGGATCTCACAGAATTCCACATAGGCAATGCCCTTAGAACAACGTGAGTTCCGATGTGAGATGATAAGTACGTCACGAACCTTGCCAAGAGCAGAGAAAAAGTCCTCCAGGTCTCCAGGCCGAATGCGGGCGCCTAACTGCATACAGAAAACTGTTCAGGCATCACGCTCCTTGGGACTCAGATTATCAATTGACTCCCTGACTGGACTCTTCTCTGAAATGAGGACTCTTACTGTGTCCAGCGGCAAGTGGTGGACTCCTGTCATGCACACGATTCTCACGACGTGGGGCCCGACTTCTGGACTCACTGCTGTGTTGAAGATCCCAACTTTGGCTGTGGTGACGATGCTGCCGATCTCAACTTCGGCTCCAACTATTTCTCCGTCTACGCCGATCCCGGTCTCGGCTACGGTCTTGACTACGACTGCGTTTTCTATCCCTGCCTTTACTATGGCTCCGACTCTTCTTGCCTCCGCACTGGTGCTGCTCCCACTGCCAGTTGCCGGTGCTGCTGCTGGTGTTGCTAGGGCCGTCCTTTTTAACCTCCTTCCTTTGCTGCTCATCCTCCTCTTTTTTATAGGGAGCCCCCAGCATGGCCTCAATCCTATATCACAGTCATCGGATGCCATCACAGCAGATCAGCTCCGGGTCCCCGCGGGGGTAGGAGCCCCCGGTCTTCTCTGCTCCTTCGGTTTGTTGGAGGGTGCGAAGCTCGGCTGTTTTCAGAGCCTCAGCAGTAAAAGTCCCACTGCAGCCGGAGCCGCTCCTCTCCCCGTAAAATGGCCTGCCCATTTTTTAATTGGATTTTTTTTTTGGCGTAAAGTTGTGTAAGTTCTTTAAAATTTTGGATATTAACCCCTTATCAGATGTATCATTGACAAATATGTTCTCCCATTCAGTGGGCTGTCTTTTCATTTTGTTGATTTCCTTTTCTGTGCAAAAAAATCTTTAGTTTAATGTAGTCCCCATTTGTTCACTTTTCTTTTGCTTCCCTTGCCCAAGGAAATATTTTAAAAAATACTGCTATGAGAAATGCCCACGATTTTACTGCCTATATTTTCTTGTAGGATTTTTATGTTTTCGAGTCTTACATTTAAGTCTTTAATCCATTTTGAGTTTATTCTTGTGTATCATGTAAGAAGGTGGTCTAGTTTCATCTTTTTGCACATATCTGTCCAACTCTCCCAACACCATTTACTGAAGAGACTGTCTTTACCCCATTGCATGTTCTTGCCTCCTTTGTCAAATATTAATTGACCATAAAGACGTTGGCTTATTTCTGGCCTCTATTCTTTTCCATACCACGGTACATGCCCTTTGACCATAATCGAACCTGGGACCTTTTAGTCCGCAGGCCGATGCTCTATTCACTGAGCCAAACCGGTTAGGGCCACCATGTTGTTTTGATTACTATGGCCTTGTAGTATAGTTTGATATAAGGTCATGACTCCTCCAACTTTGTTCTTCTTTCTCAAGATTGCTGAGGCTAGTCAGGGTCTTTTGTGGTTCCATACAAATTTTTAGAATATTTGTTCTAGTTCCATGAAATACATCCTTGGTAACTTGATAGGAATTGTACTGAATCTATAGATTGCTTTTAATCATGTTAATTCTTCCAATCCAGAGTATTATGCTAAGTCAGTCAGTTAGAGAAAGACAAATACCATATGATTTCACTTATATGTGCAATCTACTGAACAACATAAATAAAATAGAAACAGATTCATAGATACAGAGAACAGACTGACAGCTGTCAGAGAAAGGGGGTTTGGAGGACTTGGTGAAAAAGGTGAAGGGATTAAATAAACAAAAAATACTCATAAATACAGACAACAGTATGGTGATTACCAGAAGGGAAGGGGGGCGGGGATGAGTGGAGGTAGAAGAGGATAAAGGTCGGGAATAAATGGTGATGGAAGGAGACTTGACTCATAATACATTATGCAGATAATGTATTATAGAATTGTATACTTGTCACCTATATAATTCTATTAACCAATGTCATCCCAATACATTTTTTAAAAGAGAACTTGGCAAAAAAATAAAAAGGCACAAAGCTCTTTCAACTGAGTAAGATACAAAAAACTAGAAAAGACCTCAGAGGACATGTAATCCAACTCCATGAAACTCCCCAGAGGGCCTGACCAGTGTGGTTTAGTGGTTGAGCATCAACCCATGAACCAAGAGGTCACTGGTTCAATTCCCAGTGTCAATGTTTCTCTCTCATTAGTGTTTCTATCCTTCTAACCCTCTCCCTTCCTCTCTAAAATCAACAAGAACATATATTTTGTTAAAATCCCCAACCCAGCCTGTGTGCTCTGTGGTTGAGTGTCAACCGATTCCCATTAGGGGCACATGCTAGGGTTGCGGGCTTGATCCCCAGTAGGAGGCATGCAAGAGGCCAATGAATGTTGTTTTTCTCCGAAAACATCAAGAAAAAAACATATCCTCAGGTGAGGATTAAATTATATATATATATATACACACACACACACACACACACACATACACACACACACACACATATATGTATATATATAATATATATGA